GGTGCACACTAGTGACTTTATTTTGACTTTTCTTCATGGCCTATTAAGTCACAGAGTTTAGGAAAACAGGCATAGGATATGAAATTATTGGGACATAGGCTAGAGACTGTGATCCAAGAACTAAGATTCTTGAGATCTCTCAAGTGAACATACTGTGTTTTGTATGCTAATAATATGATCAAAGGCTGGATAAACCTGGTAGCTTCTGGATAGCATATAACTGGCATGCAGAAAGACAAAGAAATGTTTACAAGCTGATATTTTAAAAGCAATTTTCTTCACAGTTATCCATTAGGTTAAAATATTGAGTCTCCTACTTGATCCGTGAAAAAGGAAAAGAAAACTGACAAGAAGTTAAAGACAAAGAACTAATTAATTTGTGCAAAACAAAGTCTTCTTCAAAAATTCTTACACTATATTTTAACCAAAACTTTAGGGTTGGTTAATACTGAGATGCATAAACATCTTGAGATCTCCACACAGAATATTCAATGTCCACACTGTTCTTGCTCCATACATTGAAATATGCACAAAAGCCAACTGTTGTCCTGAGTTCTGTGATTCATTCCAGAAATTAGAACAAAAGAACAAGAGGGTAGGTTGTGAGAATTTTTCTTTGGCCATGTTGAGTAAAAAAAGGTAAGCAAGAACACAAATTTGACTAGCCTAACATCTAAAAGAGTTCTAGTGGAACTACACAAGCACACCTGTGAACTTGAGATAGTGTCAGAATTCCATGGAATTATTAGAGACACAGTTCATGTCTCCAGAGCTAAAGAGCTTGTTGTAGACATAGAAACAAATTACACTACACATTTGTGGGAAGTGTTGTGAATAAAATCACTGTTATTCATTTCTCCTTGTGTGTGACAATTTACACTGTCCACATTTCATTCCACATTAGTTCCAACTCTGGCAACTCACTAGAGTTCAAGCTAAGCATATCACCACTCTACAACTTTTCTGGATCTCCAACAAAACCTGTGTTCTTCAGAGTGTATTCTTTAAGCAGCTAGGACAAACTCTATACAATCAGACATCTGGCCGTGAAGTCATACCTAACCTCATGGTTGCAGACACCTGCTAAATTTTTCACAGTATGTTTGTAAACTGATGGGAAGTTTCTTTATTATGTACACTTGTAGGTATAGAATTACATGAGTTCATAAAAATTACCTGAAAGATTATGTAGATGCTCTATATAGCACCATATCCAAAAAAATAAATTACCTCTGAAAATTAAGACACTGTAATATTACACAAATCCCATCTGAATATCTTAAAAATTTTTGTTTTTCATATTGTAATTTCTTATCTTTAAGCTCTTGAGTTTTCTCATCACTTCATTTACTTCTCAGAACTTCCTAAGGCAATCCATGAAGACATGGTTTATTGGACATACAACTCTTAATGAGTGCACCATGACTCAGTCTTTCTGACCAATAGCAGTAATGGGCACAGATTGCCAATAAGGACACATGATAAATAAAGAACAAAAATACCCCGGAACAGTGGACAGCACACTACAGGAATCCAGTCTGCATCTGAAGACACAAGTGTGCTTTTTGTCCCATTTTAGCTGTGTGAAGTGAGAATGTACTACATTTATCCATCCGATGATTCACCAAGAACTAGCAATTCGTAAACATTTGGAGCTCATGTGGTAATTATAAAGATAAAAGTACCTAATGCACAATATGTCCTGCACATAGGACCTGCATACTTTCTAAATGTAGGATAATAGAGTATAGATACAGGCTTGGAACTTAAAGCGCCTGTAGGGGAAATAATTCCAATGTAGAAAGGCAGATGATGATCAAAGTTAAAGCAGTTATAAGGGTTTCTCAATCAACATAAATTAAAACTACAAGTGGAAATGTTTTCCCTTCAAACTTGCACATGTTTGGTGTCTTGTGTTCTAACTGCTCAGCCCAGTATCTTTTCATTTAAAATTTCAGTCCTATCCCCTTTTCCTGGTTATGTATTCCAAATAATGTGGTCAGAGTGGAACAACACTTTATAGTAATAAAAAAAATGAAAACAAAGTAAAGAAAAAAAAAAAAAACAAGAGCATTTTCCCCCTGTTCCAAGAATTATTATACAGTTGTCTTAATTTGGTTGCTAAGGATAAATGAATAATAAGCATGCAAAACAAGAAACAACCGGATGAGTGTCATGTTCAACAGAGGACTATATGAAGAGTTGAAGGAATGACTCTACAGATGCTACTTCACTTTGAAAGGGGAAATATCCTCATCAACCCAAAGGTAATTGAAGATAAAATGTACTGAAAAGACACAGAACATGAGCAAACATCATAGCTAAGCCTTGGATTCTTTAAAGTTGGTCAACCTATACGTCTTAATGTTCATTTTGGGAAACTTATGTAACTCAAAGCTAATCTGATTATAAAACACTAAATATCTCATATATGTTACTGAACAGAGTACAATGTAAATAACTCGTTGTTCATACTTGCTGTCCTGTTTCTGTCCATGTACCACTGGTGTGAAAAATGAGTCAGTATCAAAATTAAAAGTAAGATTTGCACTAAATAATTTTTCACTTTCTCTTCATTACTAGAGACTTCACTCAGGGCTTCATGCACATTAGACAAGTTACTTTGGAGTTGAGGTACACCCCAAAATATTTCAGATAGAAAAAAGGTCTTGCTCAGCTATCCAGCCTTGTACTGATATTTTCATACTCTTGTCTGTTTCCCAAGTAGCTGGCGTTAAAGGTGTGCACCATCATGCCTCAGTGATGTTTATTTTACCCCACCCTGAAATCTTGGTAAATCATGGTGATTTCAGAACCCCAATCTTCAACTAGCAAGGTGACACATATCTGTGTTCCCAACAGTCAAGGAGGTATAAACTATAAAAATGTCTCCTAAGCCTGGGCAACTTAAAGACTCAAAGAGTAAAAAAAATAAAATAAAATTTATAAAATAAATGAAAATGTGAACTTGGGGGAATGCAGCTCAGGGTAAAATTCTTGAGCTCACTCCCTGTACAATAAAAACATCAAAGACACCTTGAAATCTTTCGTATCCAAGAGAAACCCCTTCCCACTATAAATCAGTGATGCTGTCTACCCTATTTTTAAACTTACAAGACCAGTTTCCTAATTTCTAATTTTGCCTCAAAAATGATTAGGTGAGCTGATCAGTAGCCACAGAAGAAATATTTATCTGTTACTAAATTCTCCTCCTTTCTTTAGGCCTCTGATCTTTGACCTATTCTCAGAACAAGCCGGCAAAAAATCCTTCATTTATTATCAAAATAAGAACAAGTTGACTTCTGGAGAAATTTACTGTTGTAGCTGCTGATTTTTGCCACCCTCACAAATCCCATGCTTTCTCATTCTGTTTCACTTCCATTTGCTCTTGCCTATTCAAAATATCCTTTTATTCTATTCATTCAAGTGCCTGCTGATGTTAACTACGGGAATTTACCCTTACTTCAGTACTTTTCTTTTTGTCCTTTTGTGACACGCTTTCACTATGCAACTCAGGCTTCCTGCAACTCACTTGGTAGCCCAGGCTGGCCTCAAACTCACAGAGATACTCCTGCTTCAGTCTCTAGAGTATCGGGATTACAGACATGGTCCACCATGCCTAGCCAATTACTTCTTTTATGTAACCATCTCATTCAGTGTCTCAACTTTTAAAACAATGTGTAAAAGCAGTTCACAGATTATGAAGCAATTATTTTAGAGACGATTCCCCTTTCCCATTCCAATCATACCAATATCACATGTACACATCCCTGTAGATGCCCCACTTCAAAGCATTTTTCAGTGTGGATTTAAGAGACAGCCCTTTCAGAAAGTTGTTCTTAGCAGGACCACTTTCCCCTCCATGGAAACTCATTAACATCCCCCCATCTTTTTAAACCTTCTAAACTCTATGGAAAGGCTCATTTAAATAGCCTAAATGTAAGGAAAAATTTGTTTTATAATTTAAATAAGGCACCTCGCTAGGGAAGGATCTGAGATAGAAATGAGAAATTAGACAGTTTGGTAAGAATTAAACGAGAATAGAATTACCTAGAATGTTGTAAGAGAGTGAACTTTCTACCCAACAAGCAATGCCAACCCTCCCTACTAAGAGGAATTGCAGCCATGCCTTACTAAGCTCCTGGGTTTCCAGTAATTTAAAATACAAAATAACCCGTGTTTCTCCAAAATTTGTTTCTTTTAGCAGTGCATGAGGAAGAATGGGTTAGAGAGCCTGAGTTCAAAGCAGTAGTTTTAAATCCACAGAGGAGTCTGTGATAGGTGTTCACCAGACAATTCAGAATTGATTTACTATGCTCTGCTTATCTATAATTATCTCTGGATGCAAAGCTACAGGGCAACTCACTCACACTTCCAAAAAGGAGGAAACTATTGTTATCTCCAAAAAATCTCTCCTAACATCTTTTATGGGTTCTCCATATCATTCCTCAATAATATGAGACCATGAACTCTGTTCGTGCAGTAACCAAAATTGCAAGTAGTAGTCTGATGCAAAAAATTACAATGATGATTGTTTTTTAATGCTGAGTAAGACCGATGGATATAGTGCTGTGCCTGGGAAAGACCAAGAAGGTATGTTGGGTTGGCCTGGTGTGGTGACGCATGCTTGTAAGCCCAGCACTTGGGAGGCAGAAGCAGGAAGATTGCTGCGGGTTCAAGACCAGTCTGGGCTTTGTAATGCATTCAGGAACAGCTTGAGCTACATAGAGAGACCTTGTCCCAAAAACCAAACCAAACCAAAAAAAAAAAAAAAAAAATTGCAGTGTCACAGTAAGGTTTTTGTGCGCTAGGGACCCGGAACTGCCCGGTCTGAGCAAAGGGGTAAGTATCACTGACGATGATGCAGCATCAAAGAATAGGAAGACCTAGTATCCAGAGGTAAGCAGGGAGGTTGCAGATTGCCAAAGCTGTTTCTGACCACTTCCATCCAGAACACACCAGATTCCATCCCATCCCCAGCTCCCGTCCCACAACGTCACCACTGCGTTTCTTGAGGGTCTCCCAGGGCTCTTTCAAGGCAGCTCGCAGCCTGTACAAATTATTAAAAAAGGCGGCCTACTCAGCTGGGGGTTCTCAGCCCTGAATCCACGGTGCTCATCAGGGTGCCGCGACACAGGAAGGGCCCTCCTCCTTCGGCCCACCTGATTGGGTAGTTCAGACAGCCCGCAGCTTCAGCGCTGATTGGCTCCTGCTCCATTGCCAGGTAGCTGTACTAACTGGAGAGACAAACCTCTAAGAGCAGAGGTCTCCTCAACTCTTACCTTGTAGATCAAGAAATCTGAGACCAGTCGCTTTCCTTAGATTTCAATCTCACCTCTCCTGAGGAATGCTTGCATTTAAGGGCTTTGCTCCTGGCTTTGCAGAGAGCTGCCCTAGGTTTCTTAATGCACTAGGCGGACTCTTCCTGAAAACGGGTCACGTATCTGCTCAGATGGTTCCAGGATCAATGTCCTGTGGAAGAATTAATCCCCTGATGACTGAAAATGTCGAGGCCAGGCCAGGATTAAGCGGACCAGAGGGAGGCCCTGCTGTTAGCAATGAGGCAGTAAATTTCATTGCTCAAGGCCAGCCTGAACTGTATAGCAAGACCCTGTCTCAAAAAGACAAAATGAAATAAAATTTAAAAGTGCAATGAATATATGGTCCTAAGAGGAATACAACTATTGTGTAAACAAGGAAATTAGAGTTGCATGATAGCAATAGTCTGCAAGAGTACAGAGGAAAGAAAAGCAAGCATTCCAACTCCCTCAGACAACATTCACAGTTTATCCATAGTCATTAAAAATTCTTGAAATCTGAAGATAAACATATTTCCCAGCATTAAGGCCACAAAGATTGCTCAAACAGCTCCATATTAGATTCCCCTAATCAATTACTGGTGATGAGGCCGGGCTACAAAAGGACTTTAGATAGTAAGCTTCCCATACCCTGTCCTGACTCACCACAAGTTGAAATTCTCCAACTTTCAACATTAGTATTCCTCAAAAAAAATTACATGGAGTCGAGTAATAGATATACTTGTTAATAATTTGTTTGCCTTGAGATATGTACTAGATATTAGTAAAGCACACTTCTTAGTGTGTCTGCCTGAGGCATGATACTGTGATCCAAACAACCTAGTCTGGTCCCTGGACCCTTCCTCTTAGCTTGTTTCCCTTCTCTCTGGATCCTGGGTCTCTGTAAGTCCATATCTTTGTCCTTTATTTCTATCTACCATAATATCTTCACATTAGAAGAGATCAAACCAACACTGAAGTCTCAGAAATTATGACACAAAATAAACTTTCATTTGCTTTGTATATCAGAAATTTCTCCCTGTGTCAAAAGCAACAACAAAAATTTAATACAATAGCTGTTAGGTATCCGTCATCAATAAACTTTCAAATACATCAATTCTTTCCTTAGAAAACTATACAAATGAGTTTTTCTGTATGAATCCTCTAAATAGATTTCTTTCCTGTGCACATACTTCAGTTTGACTCCAGCAATTCTTTGCATGTCACAATGACTACAATCTATATAAGCAGAAGTCACCCAATATATACAGACATCTGGCCATGAACACATGCTTAATATCAACCCATGGCTACAGACACCTGGAATCCTGATGCATAGTTTTTTAAAAACTGATGAAGTTCTCCTTATTACGTAGCAGTTGTACTTCTAGGTGGTAACTCAGAAAAACCCACGAAGAGTATCCACAATGATGTGAAGTTGTGTATGACAATGATTTCTGGGAAAACACTCTAATAATCCTTAATAGGCTGACACAATGTAACATCACACTTCCATCTGCATGCACCTCGGAATACACACGCTGTCTCTTGTCTCTGCATATTGATTCTTTATGTCACCATTTTACCCACATCATATATACACGTTTCAGGTCTCATTTATATATAGTCACTTCCAGATGTCTTCTCTCACTCCTTGCCATGGCATTTCAACATAAATAAACATCTATGGACACTTGGCTTATCTTGTCCTATTTTATTACAATATGTCAGGCTCAGTGTAAGAGAATTTCTCAATTTGAACCACAGGAAGCTGAGGCCACAGCAGAATTTTGTTCATGGTCATTCCTGTCTCTCAGCTTGTATAGTATTTCTAAATCAAATGAGCATGAAACTTATAGTGGTGGAAATATGAGAAAATTTTTTAAAGGACAAGATATTCTGACATAAAATACGGGAGTGTGAATCTCTCTAGTGAGTGGGGTGACACTTTACTTGTAGTAGTTTCAGTGACAGAAAGGAATATTCTAGACAATGTGAAAACAATGTGCCTGGCAGAGAAAATTGTTGGAAGCAAAGGTATATGAGTATGTTGAGCATGGACAGAGCACATCATTAAATATATCCGAATATAGACTGTAAAGGAACATGAAGTCTCACAGCCAGTTTCTCTTAGGTCATTGAAAAAAAGGTTTAGGCTGATACCATATGGACAATATTTCATACCCATATCTACACTCTGAGTATCTGCTATGAAGATAAAACACAATGTATTAATTTTCAGTACACTCCAATTATCTTATTTTGAAAGTCTGTATTACTTCTTTCTTTCTTTGAAATAATAGCCTATTATGGTGGGGCATACCTATAATCCCAGCACTCAGGAGGCTAAGGCAGGAGGATTGCTGCAAGTCTGAGGCCAGCCTAGGGTAGGAAATGATTTCAATTCCAGCCTGAACTACGTAGTGAAACCCTATCTCAAAAGGACAAAAAATAATTATAATAATTTTTAAAATTACATAGCAACCAATATTGTAAAAAATAGAAACAAAAATATGAGTGGATATATCATAAATCTTTGTGTACACTTTTTCCTCAAATAGTTCTCCTTGCTTTCTTACTTCTTCCCTTTTCTTATAGATTTCAGGCATTCTCTCTGTAGAATGATTTTGTATTAAATTCATGTCAAGTTAAATGATGTAGAGGAATAAAATACTATTTAAATAAGTTGTTAGAGGACTTTCAAAATTTGATTTCAAAATGTATTTTCATCTGACATTAAACTACCCAATATTACAGGACTGTCAATAGAATGAGGTAAATTAGCAAGCCAGAGCTATATTCAATCTGTACAATCATACTTATTTATTTTTTATTCTACATATAGAATTCTACACACGGAATTTGCACCTGTACTTGATATATCTTGATTTTTCTTTTTTCCCATTCCCCAGCCTCTTCTACTCCTCTTCCCCTCCTTATTTACAAAAGTTTTATTTCCATTTTTCCTTCTACTCTTATTTTTCTTCTACCTTCCTTCTATCTCCCACCCCTCCCTTGTTCATCTCATTTGAACATTTTCTTCCCTTTTCCTATATCTATTATGAATTTTGGTCCTTGTATACACTTTTGGTTTTGCACATCAGAGAAATAATGTGGCATTTAAATATGTGTATATGATTTATTTCACTTAAGAGTATGGTCTCAAGGTGGGTGTTGTGGTGCACACCTGTAATTCCAGCACTCGGGAGGCTGAGCCAGGAGGACTGCTACGAGTTTGAGACCAGGCTGGGCTACATACCGAGTTGAAGCCCAGTCTGAACTGCATAGCGGGATCTTGCCTCAAAAAGACAATAAAAAGAGTATGGTCTCAAGGTGCATCCATTTAGTTAGAAATATCTGAAGCTTGTGGTATTATACAAGCAATCTCTTAGACATCTCTTTTTTTAAACGACATTCTAAATGTAGGAATATATTAAGCCATTAGAGCAAATAGTTTTGGAATAACCAGCTTAACAAAGAGATGAGAAAATAGTATCACTAATGCCTAGTCCTGGGAGCAGCACACACAGCTGTTCATTGGAGCTGGATTTTCACAGTTCCTGTAGCTTCCCATGGGAAGTGTTCCATGTCCATGGAATCACTATTCCCTCCATCAGAGCAATGACATTGGCTTCACCTGACAGCTCCACATCACCCACAGCTTTCAGGAACACTAACCTTGCTCAACATTGCCTGGCCTCCTGGGCTTTCCTTAGAAATTTCAGTGGAAGCCTCATGCCTGCACACCTTTGCATTCTCCAACTCTTAAGGACCAGCATCATGTGATGAAGACAAGGTCTGCCATAGATCCGAACTGTACTAGGGTGCAGTTGCAACAGGACTGAAAGTGACCTCTGGAGTGCTTTGCTGGCTCAGGCTGTCCTGGAAAATCCAGGCCTATATTCTGAAAGAGCCTGCAAAACCTCAGAAACAAATTTGCATGTCTCCACCATTAAGCCTGCCATGGTCACAGCTTTGTCAGGTCCTGAAATGTCAACATGTTCTCTTTTCTTTTGTTCTGAAGCAAAGAAAATGGCTTCTCTTTAATGGCACTCTATACCACCCACCCTCTCCTTTGGTACAAATGTACTTGTGCTCCTTTCATGGCCAAGCTGGGAATTTTCCAAGTTTTACTCCTCTGACCCTTTCTGTCCCCAATTCTTACAGTCAATAAGGCTACAAGCAGCCTGTAGTGCCCACACTGCTGTCTGAATTCTGCACAGTTTTAAATGTCATCCATCAGGTAAACTTCTTTAATGTCCTTAACTCTGCCTCCCACAAAGTCTCGGTATGAATTAAACGCACCCATGGTCTCTTCCATGATGTATATTGTGTCCCTTATTTCAATTCCTAATTGTGTCCTCTTTCTCAGATGGAACCTCATCAGTGTCACCTCACTGACCGCATTTCTCTTCACTATCTTAGCCTCCACTGGAATTGTCCAGGCCCTGTCAATGCTCCAAGCTGCTCCTCCATTGCTTTCCAAATTCTTCCTGGAAAGATATTGCAAGGGCTTCTTCATATCATCTACAGTCTAATACTGTAACTAGTACCTCTGAAAATTTACTTTGACTCACCATTTTAGAAGGTTTTTTTTATTGGTTTTTTCCTTTTTTTGGTACCAGGAGTCGAACTCATGACCTCAGGCTTGCCAGGCAAGTGCTTATGCCACTGAGCTACATCCCAGGACCATTTTAGAGATTTTATTGCATGAAAAATTTGGTGCATTACCTCAGATGAAGCCAACATCATGGATGGAGAACATGGTAGATAAAATTTGCTGTGGCCCACTGTCCCCTTCATGGCCATGCCCATTGGCCAAGGGC